GGTTGACTTGTCGCAGAATGTCGTGTTCTATACTAAGCAAGTCCAAAAATTTTATAGCCTGTCTTCTGACATAGAGGTCTAGAGTTCTGAGTCTTGATCAGCTTCAGCTTAGAGAATGATCTTTCTGATAGTTACCGTTAAGGAAAGGTACTACATTCTTAACGTCACTCTACATTGGTGAAGCATTTTTTCACATTATTCTTCAACATAAGTTGATACATCCACCTTTCGATACTGATGTTCTTTTGAATTTTCTCATATATTCATATGAAACTGGTTGGAAAAATTCAAAAGCATGGTTTATTGTATCGAGTATGCACGTAGCGTAATATATACGATAATAGAACATGACCAGTGAATTTTTTTTTGTGAGGGCCCCTTTGTGGTGCGGGCCCCAAGGTGCGCGCCTATGTCGCCTATGCTTGAATCCGGACCTGGCCACCAAGTTTTGAGATATTTCGTACGAAATTGCTGAAATTTATGATTCATGCATCATAAACTATCTCTTTAGAATCCCACAATTCCCACAAACCATTCGCTGATGAAGTCCTATTCTCGGCATGCAGGGTTGCCATATCTCGAGCATTAAGACGGAGTCCCAAGCTTTGGAAGAGAGGAGTAGGCAGTATACATGTCCATTTTTTTAAATTTTCGATGAGATCTATGTTCACTTATTCCATGAGAAAGTGTAATGCAAATGTCAACTATAGTGTTCTAGAAAGTAACTGAATTTTTCCAGATTTGAACAGAGGATAAATCATTGTGACTAGCTATCCGATGAAATCATATCGGAAATCATCAATTCATTGGTTTCATTATCATCGAGATCATAGATTGTATGAAAACAGATTAAGGCAGATAGGAAGATTAGGGCTCAGCAGAGAGTACACATACTACGTACTTGTAAGTTACAAGCATAAAATCAAGAATTTGACAGATATACGGGTGGATCATGGTCGATGATACCTTAGCCTTAGACGTTTACGGTGGTTTACGGATTCTGAAAATGAGGTTACTCAAGTAGTTTTTTCTTGGTCTATCGACCGAAAATATTTTCGACAATGCAGTGTTGCCGCTTCTATCGAAGGGTAGCAACAACTTTGTTATTTCAAATGATAGAATACCCTGTCCTGTTTCTTGTTGCACTTTCAGATTCTCCCTGAAGAGCTGATTTCATTGATAAATCACACTCGAGGTGTAACGGGAATGATTACAGAGATACACGCGGTGTTCAAAATCGAGATTTTTCATCTTTAGGATTTTTTGTTTCGAAACTATCCATCATCAGTCAAAACTGCTTTTATGTCCAAGTTTTGATTAACTATCTACTGACATTTAATTGGAATAGATACAAGGTGATCAGAATTCTGAAACTTGAACCACCCTAAATGAATGTAAGTAGACCGATAATGAATAGTTTAAACCGAGGTTTAAACTTAGACTTAAGCAGCATATATTTCTATAAACATTCCCGCTGAACCCCAAGTAGGATGTATCGATGAAATTAGGGAGAATCTGAAAGTGCAATAAAAGACAGGGTATTCCTTTTGAAATAACAAAGTTCTTGCTACTTTTCGATAGAAGCGACAACACTGCATTGTAGAAAATATTTTGGATCGCTAGACCAAGAGCAACTACTAGGGAAACTAAATTTTCAGAATGATCCAATAATGTCCCGTTCTACGTAAACGTCTAAGGTATATACCATCGACCCACTATAGGTCAGGTTAGGTGGTTAGGTAGGTAGACCTCGCTCTAGGCTTTCAAGAATAGAGATGGAATAGTTCTTATCCTTGCCTCTAACGGGTATATCATACATAGTAGGATTACTAGGTAGCAATCAATAATAATTATAGGTACCTCAACGATTACATAGTTATAAGTTCGGGTATGCAGATGTAAAGATCATTTTTTCGTATGAGAATATCCTCGATACTTAATGAAAATCCAGTATATGGAAGTAATTATTCCTCTGCAATTATATAATCATATAATTTATTCATTTGGCACAGAATGCAATATTTGAGTTCAGAAGATAATAGTATTTCTCAACACAGGTAGATAGATAATATATGCTCATAAGTCAATATCCGAAGAAGGTCGAAAGGAAGGTTCTTATTCAGGTAGATAAACCATTCATCTTGTAGCTAATTGAATTATCAGTATTCCTAGCTAGATACCTGTTATATTTTCATTTGAGGTGACATATACCTTTGCTTCTGATTGACAGTATTTAATAGTATGGTTTGGCATGGTGTTTGTCGAGGTGTTTTCACACATCAACCCCTGTCCTAGTTATAACTTAGCAGGTACATATTTTAATATTCAGGTCATTGGTATATCTGGCTCACATGCTGAGGTTATATTTCTATGAATGTATCATCATACCTCTGAGGTACTTACCTGAGTTATCTCTGAACCCTGATAGATGTCAAAGACAGATACACTATTATCAGTCTATATCGAGGTTTATTTTTATAAAAACTACATGATTTGAATGTTGATTAGAGATCTCGCTGGAGGTACATACACCATAGATATGGAAAACCTCGAAGACAACATATTTTCAATTTGTCTGGTACCAGCTAGAGTATCAAGTTTTCTTCACAGTGGAGAAATACCCTCTTAGACAATAATAATGATGAATTTGTCTTCGCCTTCTGTGCTTCAGGTTTAGTTAGGTACATAATATGAGATATCATTGAAGCTACTGTCTTGATTGGGTACAGTAATTCGAGTAGTAATTGGATAATTATTCCTTACCCAATGGTTATGCGAGAACTAGGCAAGGATCAATGTATGTTTATTATCTTGACATCGAATTATTAATTTTCATTTACCACAATGTGTCTATGTATCACATGCATTCGTTTGAGAGTTCATCAATCTTTACAATTATTGCTTTTGGCAGGCTTCTTCTTATATGATATAGTTTCTATTATGCCACCTGGCGTCATAAATATGGTGAGTTCACCGTTTTCATCACCTGATCGAAGGAAAAGTAAAGGGTTGAAGTCTCGGTGTACGCATAGTTCCTCACGCTTTTCTTTCGTTTCTACGAAGTTGTTTCTGTAACTCAATCGAGATTCTGGTTCTTCTCGTGAAGTCATTCATATATGAATATTTTGTTTCGTAGGTGATTTCAAGGGGTTATTCTTGAATCCCAGTTGTTGTTTGTAAAATAAAAAAGCAATAAGAACAGCTCTTACACAGGTGGATGTATTGTAGCTACGTTGCTATCCTAGGCATTTGATAAATCTGCAGAATTTCAGAGACACAGCTAGGTGACATGAAGGAGAATACATCTGTTTGATGGCGCGTCGGGAGACAACACAACCTGGAGCTAAAATCTACTACTTTTTTCCTTGTATAATAAATAACTATTTCTTCTTTTGATTTTATATGATTTGTATCGCCCATCATTCTACAATCTCCTTGAATATAGAGTGGTGATATAATCCATCCAAATCCGATGTTAGGGCTTCATGTTACGTAAGGCCTCACGTTGGGCGCCATGCGGTGAAATTATTGGAACATCAGGCTGTCTTGGTATCCTTGATACCCGCACGACGAATTTGTAATTCGATACCAAATCGTTCAGATTGACATTGGGGGTCCCTAGTAGTAGTAGGTACAATATAATTTCACTCTGATCGCCTCTGAATGCATTTGTGATACCATTATTTCATTTCATTTTCAAAATATTGATGAATATTTTCTTCACAGACATCCGAGCGGAGATCCTTTGAGTACGATCTGATGATGTGGCCTGGAATGGATAGCTTGATTCTGTTCTGATGACGTATTGAACCAGTAAGGAGTCATTCTACCTACAGAATAGGGAATTCGCAGAAGTTTAATAAAAAGGCCGAGACAGAGTCGTTGAGTCTTATTTTGGTATACATTAGCGATTTCGAATAATTCGATAAGTCAATTGAAAACATGTTTATTTGCTCAGGAGATAACTTGCTACTTGCTATTGACACTATGAATTATAGCAATGAGGTTACTTCTTATAGTTCAGTAATCCATGCAGATAGTGAACGGAGAATAGGTCAAGGAATAGATATGTCAGTTTACCTATGTACTTTAAAATAATACCACAGTATAGGTAATGGAACATGCTTTCTCATTAATAATCAGCAGAGCCAATGTATAGTGAGATGGGATGAATATTTTGCTTTGTTTTGATTGACGATTTCCGTTGTTTCACAATTACAGACTATAATATATCAAATAAGCCGAAAATTTTGAGATTCTTACATGAATGAACTTCTCACGACGATAAGATATTTTCATAATACTGTGACCGGGCTGGAATTAAGTATATTCATTAATGCGTATATAATGCAAAAACTGTTTATACAATCAGATCCCATGAAAGAGAACATATTTTATGACACTGGCCTGAATAAAAAACTTGTGGGTATATCGACATTAAATATTATGAAAGACGTTACCATAATATTAATAAATCAATACGCGTTTGTGATGTAATAGGTATGTAGCGTTGTTTCAATGTTTTCAGAGCGAGGTTTCAATTATATCAAATTTTAGAACATATTCTAATATAATAAACATCTTCCAAATTATATTCAAACGGATCAAAAGCTATGCGGTATCCGTAATTCGTATCTCGATTATCTGCCTGCACTGCAAGAGAGGGGTGTTTCTCATATTTCCATAATAAGGTTGCAATTGCAGATTTTATGACCTTTGACTCATACACAATGATATCGTTCGCAGCAAACTCTTGTTTTTATCGCTCAACAAAGTACGGATCTCATCAATTAAATTAAGAACAGCGGAACAGTTTATCAAGTGATTCATTACGGTCATCCCGCCTACTCAGATCGGGATGAATAAATATGGTCATAATGCATTTTCCGGCAGATCTAGTTTCTAGGCCAATAGAGCAGTACTTTTGCAGACTGACTTGTTTTGACTGCTATACAGTTATTGGCGGCTAGACTTATGATGGTCCCGGGATCAATACTTACTGGCATTCGTTCATTATCTCCTCCTGACTCCTCACTTGAACAGGTGCCAATGTCTCCACCGATTCCTCGTAATTCCCGAAACACTTCGTTATCTTGTCATCGAAAGTATTGACCAGATCTTCGAGAGATCCAGAAAAGGTCTCCGTGAAATTGTCAGCCACGGAGGGGGTATCACCCTTCCTCATGATTATCTTCGGGGGTACGTTCGGCATCGAATTATTCAGGATGTCTTCGTTGAAATCATTCAACACGTCGTTTATGTCCTGTTTCTTCTTGTTGCAGTTGATGTTATTGATTGCGTTCTCGTTCTTCAGGTTGGCCGACTGGAATTCCGTGGAGCCCCACTCGTCGGATTCCTCGAATTGGGCCAGGGGGGCCTCGAATTTCAATTCAGCCATTTTGGTGGCTAAATCACGCATGGCGAAAACCACCACACTGCACTTCACACGAACGCAATGACGCGCTCTCACCCGTCTGACTTGCACACAAACAGTGGAACATCGGATCGAAATGTTGTATAGCGTTGTCTAGGCCAGCCGGGCCAATAATGATTGGATGCGGGGTTGCCAGCTGCTGCAATTGAAATGTCGCGAAAATTCATGAGAAAAGTGGGGATTCTTTTTTGGGATCTTCTCTCCTCGTCTCTATAAAATGAAAATATGAAAACTATTTCAATATACAGGTGAAACCAAGAGACCTCTTTCAGTAAGGACGGAGGAACATTTTTTTATGTTCTGGTTCCCACGAAAAGGGATATCCTGTAATGTTCAGAGAACATCGTGAGAACCAAGGAAAAAAGGTAGGAATTCTAGCATTCTAGCCATTTTTAAACTTATCTAGCTACTGAAAATTACACTCAGCCATTTAGACATTTCTTCTATACCTTTTCAACTTCAATTTCGGAAAAAGTAATCTCGATTTCAGAATTGGTTACTTCGATTTCAGAAATGGTAAACTCAATTTCAGAATTGGTGAGATGAATTTCAGAAAAAGTCCATTCAATTTCAGATATGGTAAGTTGTATTTCAGAATTGGTAGGTTCAATTTCAGAAAAAAAATCCTTATATTTGTTCGAAATGTTTCCAATTGCATGTGAGATTAACAAACCATATTTAAAATATTCAACTTTTCAAAAACAATTTGATCCACAGATGCCTTCCATCTGAATCGCTGGAAGATAGTGGCGTTGCACATGATTATAAGAATGCAAACACATTTGAGGTGTTATCATTTTCATTAAATGATCTGCACATTCTTCAAGACATCGCAGTCTGAATTCTATCAGGTTGAGCAAGCTGTTCGGATCCCCAGCTATGACCCTTTGGCGATGCTCTTGCAAGAAGCTCTTCACTTCTGACTTGAAGGCACCCCATATATGTTCAATCTGATTCAAACACCGTTCATCCACTGTAAACACTCTTCTATTTTGCAATTAAAAACATTTCAAACATATAAAAGGATTTCATCTTCTGAAATTGAACCTACCAATAATAATTCTGAAATACAACTTACCATTTCTGAAATTGAATGGACTTTTTCTGAAATTCATCTCACCGATTCTGAAATTGAGTTTACCATTTCTGAAATCGAACTAACCAATTCTGAAATCGAGATTACTTTTTCCGAAATATAACTCACCGATTCCGAAATTGAAGTTGAAAAGGTATAGATATTTTATGTTCTGAATTTCTATTGAAATTTTCGAATTTTTTATAATATTCCCCGATAGTTCATTATATTCACGATCTAATCTAAGTCGTATTCACACCAGTCTGTATTTTTATGGATTTGTGCCATTTTGACCAATTGGGCGCGTTTTTCATTCCAACATCTTGTAAGGCCCATGAATCGAAGAAACATTGACGTTGACGTCAATGTTTTCTTTAATGTTCCGGTTCCCACGAAAACGGATATCCTGTAATGTTCAGAGAACATCGCGAGAACCAAGGGAAATATGGTGGGAATTGGTGTTCTTCTCGAATTTCTGGATGTTATATGCCTCGGAGAACACCTGCCTTGGCAATGTGTTCCAGAGCCTCGCTGTTCGTTGGATGAACGAGTCTTTGGAAAGAGATGTTCTGCAGGTCTCCAAAGTGACCACGAAGGGGTGCGAAGCCTCAACTCGACGGGTTATAGTCTCGCGGGGACTACCAAGGGAGGAACAATTGTTGATATTTCAGAAGAGCAACGTCCATGAGAATATATATTGAATGAAGCCAGATCGCCAACATTTCTACGGTGTTCCAGAGAAGTGAGTGAGTTTGTGAGCGAGGCATCACTCACGAGACGAATTGCCCTTTTTTGGACAGAATCCAACAGTGTCAGGTATGTTTGGGTGCTGTAACAGTAATACAAAGCATCGAAATTGATGTCTTTAAAGGTATGATGGTTACTCCTGGCAAGCTCATGTTGGGCACAGTTAGATAGGCTCTTCTAGAGAAAAGTAATGCTTAGGTTTTGTTTGCATTGAAATCTATACCAAGTTATTCGATACCCATTCGAGAATTGTTCTCAAGTCCATATTCATGTTGTCAACATTTCTCCCTCGTTCGTTCCATATTTTTCTGGCGAAACTAGCTGAACATATCCCTACTGAAGATGGACAACATATGACAGAGTGGAATAATATTAAAATCATTGGAAATAAGATAACAACCAAATGAAAAAAAATCAAGAAATCTGCTTGCATTCTTCTGAACGGAGACAATAGCATTGCTTTCTGTTCACTTTACATAGATAGAGCATGGTATTCACTACTGAAATCTGTGAATGAAAACGGTGAATTCATTTGATTACCAACGTCACCAATGTCACTGAGTTCTGAGAACTGAGAAGTGTCAAGACAAATACGACTTTTTGTATATCCTACTTTACCAACCTGCAGGATCAGTTACCTGTGCACAGGTACGATAAACCTCCATTTTCGGAGATGAGGCACAATATCTACATTAAAATACGGTATAACCGGATTAACTTGAAAGAGTTGATAGCAAATACATATCAATACTTACTAAGAAAACAAATTCAACACTGGGGAACTATTGAGGTCTAATTGATCATTAAGTAAAATGTCACAATTTTTGAGTTTGTTGATTTCGAATGATTCAAAATGATTGAGTTTCAGTCCTTTGTTTTCTACGTGTAGAATTTCGAAATTTTCATCAAAACTATGGTTTTCTTCTAATATATGGTTGGCGTTTGTTCATTTTTTCATAAAATTCATCTTATGTTCATGAATGCGATGATTAAACGTACGACCTGTCTATATCTCAGAAATTTCATAGGCATTTTTTTCCAAAAAAGTGCCTAGCCTATTCGATTAAAGCATGGCTGGAATAAATTCATACGAAATCTGAACGCAAAATGTCATATACGGCGTTAGTTATTCAGTGGCAAATTTTGATATTTTTGATTTTTCGATTCACCCTGGTGAACCAGTGAAGTAGTCATTCAATGTTGAGCATATCGAATAGGTACTTAGATATACGATTATTCCCTATACATTACAATTTTGATTGTCATCTCAAATCAAATTCTCTTCCATTTTGCTGGAATCGGTACCTATATTATTATGATTACATTAAGTATCAGTTAATCTCCTTGATTAGATTAGATTAGATTATAGTTTAGATTAGATTAGATTTATTCCCCAATAAGATGATACAATTTTCTTCTTAATACTAATGATAATGATAGTTATAAATTCACATAACATATGTTTATCTTGCCATAGGCGTAGGGAAACAGCTGACTGGTGTATTACAAAGATTTGATATTAAAATTGAAGTTGTGTTGGTGACAAACAGTCGGTGAAAGCTTGATATAAGTTTTATTTTCTGAATATAATTTTTTTTATTGTTATTTTGTTTTTATAGGAAAGTAGTTGCAAATAATTCATTGAGATCATAAAATACATATTGACGTAAGAGTAGTTTGAGGTTAGTTTGACGGGCTAATATTTTTATATGTTGTGCATTAATCAACACACTTTTATTTCCATTTAGGAAAAAGCCAAATACTCAAAGTGGAATGCAATGGTTAAAAATACAGGGAAAATTATTGTCGAGACTCAACTGATCCAACTTGAGATCTTGAACATGCCAAATCCCCTTTTGGTTTCCTTGCTCATTCTCCAACTCATAAGTCCAAGCACCAATTTTCCTAAGAATTTTAAAAGGTCCGACAAACTTAGGAGCAAGCTTCGCCGTGAAATAATTGATAGCATCAGACTGAACTCTGTTCCTTCGCCAAACTTTATCACCCTGTGCAAAAGTAACCATACGCCTATGGGAATCAAAAACTTTCTCACTACGCTCTTGGGATTTCAGAAGACGAGAAGAAACATCATCATACATTCTACGGAAACCTTTTTGACGCTGTTCAATCAGTAAGATCCAAATCGAGTTCCGGTACCTGATCCAGATAATCTTGACCATGAAGTTTATATTTCCTACCAAAATTTATGAAATATGGACTGTAACCCACGGTTTCATGACGAGCAGTGCGAATACCACAATAGTTCATAAAATTAACGAAAATGGTAGATAACGGAAGAAAAGCAACTACTTTCCTAGATATATGCCACGCAGAACATTGGATTACATCCTCCCGAAATCTATGCAATAATTCGTGAAGACGAATAAAATCACGAGTGTTTCCTTCCTAAACGCCGAGCTGCGCCTAAGTGGTTCAGGAACGTGTGACTACCTGCAGACCGGTTTCGCGCTGTTGGCTCACATCAGTACAGGGCTGTCTCAGATAGCTTCTTGACCGCTATCTGGTGCGAACCTGACCCGACGTAATCACATCTCAGCATTTATACCTAGCTCGGCGTTTAGGAAGGAACACTTACGATTTTATTCGTCTTTACGAATTATTGCATAGATTTCGAGAGGATGTAATTTTATGTATTCATTTATTTATTTATTTATTTATTTATTTATTTATTTATTTATTTATTTATTTATTTATTTATTTATTTATTTATTTATTTATTTATTTATTTATTTATTTATTTATTTATTTATTTATTTATTTATTTATTTATTTATTTATTTATTTATTTATTTATTTATTTATTTATTTATTTATTTATTTATTTATTTATTTATTTATTTATTTATTTATTTATTTATTTATTTATTTATTTATTTATTTATTTATTTATTTATTTATTTATTTATTTATTTATTTACTTACTTAGTTCACAGAATAAATCCAATTAAGAACTAACAATACAGTAATATGAGTTAACAAGAATAATGATTTACAACTATTGTCTAATACAAAAAAGAAAGATCTAATCTGCTGGATTGTTGTATGAAAAATGTCAAAAGATGTGCAACGATCATTATAATTTCTACAGATCCTTTGTACTGGAGAGTTTCTACATATGTTTGTGCGTGGAGTTGGCAAGTAAAAGGTTCGATTCACTCGGGACGCCATTCTTGGAACGTGAAACTGAATTCTTTGCATCAAATAATGGAAGTCACAT